GCAAACCCTAAAAGTAATAAATGGCTTTAATTTTAACCTTTAACTGAAGCAGCAAATGAAATATGGCCCCTTCTGCACTGGACTCTTAAAATACCCATTTTCCATTTAAAATAACAGCGTAATGACAACAATAATACATGTTAGAAATAACTGTTATCAATATTGAAGGGCTGAAATTATTTAATCAGGGCAGTACATTACTATCGACCTTATGCGATAGATTGCCCACTAACAATTTTGATAGGCGCAGGTCAGGCCTCTCCATTATTTTCCCGTCAAAGTGATTAAATAAATAGTCCCGCTTCAACTACAGGCAGCTATTTTGTAATTATGGAGGTTTATTGCCCAGGCAGGGTACAGGAATGTTTTGGGTAAGCAAAGAGCATGTAGCGACTTACGCTGACCTCAGGTTTAGCTTTTTATGTTAACATTCGAGCAATCGTGGGATTTAGCATTATTTAGTTTTAATGACCGGCCACATTAGTCTAATTCTAGCCAGGTACATTTTGCACTTAGTAATGTGTAGTTTCGATTGTTTTATTTGTAACGAGCTGTTGCCTGCGACATCGTCCACGTGGTGTTAGAAAACATAAGAACTATATAAATTACAAAAAGCTACGTATCCCTCGGGAACCGGACATTTCTCGGGGTTGAAGCTTATCCCATGTGTACTTCAGACTTTGTTTTGTATCTGTGCCAAATTTCAATAAGATATGTTGAACCGTTGCAGAATGATCGAGTAAACAATAAAAAACTAAATTAGTGAATCCCACGGGAACCGTAACCATTCCCGGGATAAAAAGTAGCCTATGTGTTCTTCCAGACTATGCTCTAAACCTGTGCCAAATTTTGTAGAGATCCGTTCAGCAATTTAGGCTACAAACGCTAACAAACATCCATCCATCCATCCACCCATTTAAACTTTCGCTTTTAACACAAATGATAAATAGCAACCAAAAACTAAACTTTTTGTCTTTAAAAAGTTTGCGTTTCAACCTTACGGAAGGAGATAAATCTGAGAGATGTATACACACTAGCGTGGCGCTTACCTTCTAACTATAACTTATCATAGTTTCCAGATGAAGCTATTATACGTCAATATTGTAAGGTACGAGCCACACTAGCGGATGTCGTGGAGTCGTGCAGAGGTCGGCGGTCATTCGACCCGGCCGCGGCCGCTGCTATGTCAGATTGCTATCATCCGCGCTTCGCCCTGCGCTGTGAAACGATTTGCGCAGTTTTCACATTCGAATTGATCGTAAGACTACCAATTAATATGAAGAAAAATGGTAAATATTAATGAAAATAATTTACTTTTCATTGATTGACGAAATACTAAAAAAAATCTAGAGTAGAAATAAAATGTAGTATTGCAGAAGTTTATTATGATGAGATAATTTAAGAGAACCGTTATTAAAACATAATAACGTTCTCATTTCAAAATGTAAATTTCCATAAAACTTAAACCAACAAAGGTAAAAGGATAATCTTATTACATAGAATGAATGAAAGTAAAACAGGCCGTCAGTAATTGTAATAAAGAAGCGCCTACGCTAATATGCGAGCAAAGGCACCGGAGCACGAACAGGTCAGTTTTAAAAGGCGTTACCAGTTTGGTAATTTACATTATTAAAATAGATTGGTTAAAAGCAAGGCTGAATATTATATTTTAATTTGAATAAATTGATACAGTTATAAATATTTGATAACTGAATTATGTACAAAATTTTAGTAATGCTTTTACATGATCACAAATAATTAATTAAGAGAATCAGAAGTCCCTTCTTCTTAAATGTAAGGGAAGTAAATAATGTTATTTTTTTGCATATATCACTTTTTAGTTTCCTTATTTAACTATTTTTGTAGCACTATGGTCAAAGCGTCATTACACCATAATCTCTTCCCGCCCCGGCTCAGTAGCGAATGACTTCTAATAATGCTCTCGCTGGTAGAAAGCAAAGTTTTCAACGACATAATCACACTAAAAGCATTCCATTTTATTTGCCGAATGTTACAGTATGGAACTATTTACCGAATAGCATACTAGCACGATCGAGATTGTTTCTAGTTTAGTGTATTTATTGCATGAATTTTAAAAACGTACTTTTCATTTTTATTTTTAATTTAAACTAGAGGGACGTTATGAGTGATCAGAAACATTAAGCTTAGAGAGATATAACTATTACAAAATTTTTTATCCGTTAAACCTTAAGTGTTTTATAACAAAGGTGTTATAAAGTCAAAATTAAAAATATCGTTTTTATTAACCTTTTGTTTACGAGGACAACGTTATCCACGTACTGCAAAGGAATTCCTTTCATTAACATCGCATACTTTTAACGGTTTTACGGTAATGTGATGCTCGCAAAGTTAAAATTAAAATATTTGTGAGAATTTATGAGGGCGTTCATTAGTACGGCCACACTCCGCTCGGACGCATTGAGAAATTAAGACGTATGTGAATGGGCTTAAAAATGTTTAGTATAGTTAAGATGTTTTTTAATGATTCGCATGCTAAGTTTAGTAAACACATTATTCAATATTCCAAAGTCATAACAATATGACATTTTTTAATTTATTTTCATATGAAAAAATGCTAAAGGAAAACGTATCGAAGCCTCCAAACTAATGGGCGTTTGTACTTATACTATTCTCTTAAACGTAGGTTTCCACGGCCTATTTCTATCTTATTGTATTATTGTGAATTCGGTAAATCGAAAACATATCTCGACCACTAAATTATATCTGATTGTAAGTAACTTGAAGATTCTGCATCAAACGTCTGCAGTTATTGGTGAAACGCCGAAGCAATTTCGATCTCAAAGGACCACTTACTCAACCACCCCGATCAAATTCGAGCTTCCTTACTCAACGCGACAAGATTTTCTATAAAACATTTTTAAAATACCGGGAATTTGTATAGTTATAGTGTAAAAATGAGCTCAGAAACTCGAAAATTGTTGAGAATTAAACGATTTATTCCATGTTATTTATCTTATTATTCGTCTTTTTGACTTAACAACAAAATATCGCCATGGTAACCCCTAACATTTTATGTAACCAATTAAAAAGCTAATTATCAAAGAATATTTACACTATACACGTGACACTGGACAATAAACCTCAACTACGCAACTTATTAGACGCTTGTAAATAATGTCGGAAAAGTTAAGTAACTACTTTTAGTAAGTATTCTTGATTAAGGAGGGATTTGTTCCATGTTCCGCTCATTAGTAAATGTCACTAACGAAAAACATCACATAACTAAATTAGACTAGGTACACAGTTGTACTTTATTGTATCGGCATTTTTGGTTACATACGTATGTCATTATTTTTCTAAAATACTCTGCATACATAAGTGAAAGAATAATATTCCTGTAGTAGTAGCGGTAGTAATAGTAGGGGCTACAGTTTCCGCAACTTCACAGCTAGCGCGTATTTATTACTGTAGTATATCACCTCGTATCTAAACTATAAAATAATTTTCCAATCAATAGCTCAGTTAAAAACTAAAGCGAGCCGAAGCGAGGGCGCGTTCGCGGCAGTAAGTAATTGGTCGAGGGTGAGCGAACGCAAAACGGATATTGTTTTCGTCGATGGAGCTGCCAGTACCGTTTAAATATCGCTCAACAGTATCGGAGAAAACGAACAGATTGACTTCGTATTACAACACTGAGCACAGCTACTTTTAACTACTGACAGAAAACGAATATTGTGACACAACTTTTGTAAATAAAAACTTCCAATATCAAGTTAGATAGAAACGATACGTGGATTAAAAATTTCTATAAATCCCCGTAATACAATGAGTTTAGTAAGAATAAATGTTACCTTCGACTTTTTGTGCGCCGAATAAAATATTGTGGTACTGTCACAGAACTAATAATTAACTCTCCCTGTGTTATGCTTATAATCTAAAAAATCAAAGAGTTTAAATAGATATATTTAATATCGGAAAATTCAACATATTTATGGAACAGTTTCAGAATCAAAACCGCTCTCACAAACGTAGAGATTCTAAGTGATATGATGCTTTACGAAATATTTTTTACTTTATCAGATACATAAAAGGAAAGACATTTATAAATATCATCTTGTATTAAGCTGAATGAAACATTGCAAACAAAGATTGTACGAACAGGGAGTGGGACGGACAGGAGTGGGAGGGAAAGCGGAAACCAATTAAGTTACACTTTCTGGCAAATGGCAGAGGAGATAAATTTGATTACACTTGCTTCAATGCTATTATTCATTTGCAATACTTATTGTTTTTTATTGATGAATTGGGTAAACCGAAGGTTAATACAACAAAGTTCAATAAATTGAAAATGTTAACGTGGATACCAGCTTTTTAATGATATCGCATTTCAAGTATCTTTAACATAGCTTCATAAAAAAATAATCCTGGATGTCATACCTTTTCGCCAAAAAAGTTAATTCAATCATGACCGTCACACACCGAACGTGACATTTACAAGCTTTTTACTCGTAAAATGACATTTGTTTCAAACAGTGACACAATAAGGGTTGGAACACACTAATATCTTTTTACAACAAAAAACATACGTGTGTACTGTTCAGAATAAATTGCAAGCGTAAAAAAATAATAGTGCAATTGTAATTAAAAAATATCTTGCAAAGGTTCTTTTATTCTCAGATATTTTCTCTTATTTTCAGAAACAAAACTTATTCTAAGTTCGTCGAACTATCGGAGTAAATAGTTCAAAAATTATCTGTTTTTATTTATTTTCTATTAAACAGGAAAACAAATCATGATAGTTTTCATTATAAACGGAAAAAAAATTGTTTCGCAAATAAATTGTAATTAATGAAAACTATGTGCCACTGACATCGTTTAGTAGCTTAAAATGAATGCAATTCAAAACTCTGTTACTGCGTTCGTGTGGCAAAGTTCGTGGTACACGTCCGCCCTAACATGGTTTGAACGCGAGGGCGGTTTCTGGGGCGAGGGGATAGCAGTTCGCCGCCCGACGCAGGCCGGCGCGCTCGCCCTAACTTAACTCCGTAAGCTCGGGAGGGCAAAGTTCGCGACCGTACATTATGGAATTGTGAATTATTTTTACAATCAATTTTAACTCGGACCAATTTACGAGAGGTAATTTTTTATTACTTATTTTATTGGTGTTTTAAAAAGACAGTAAAGTTGTAGAGTTTAAGTAGAAATTTATTCCAGAAACTTTTACAATTGTTTTATTCTTACGGCAGTGCAAGCTACGAAAGATATGAACTTTTTTGTGATTTTTTTTCAATTTTTTATTATTTATACTTTCAATAAAAATCAAATCAAATCATCATCCTTGAAGTATTTTTGTGTACTTACTATTTTTTTATGTTCCTTTTTATCAATATTGGAGAAAAAAATATTTTGTAACCGAACTAGGTTTATTTTATCCAATTCAGAACACGTTTAAAAATTACGTCTGGAAATGTTAAAGCATACTTAATTAGACTATAGAAGCAAGTAGGATGTTCTTGTTAGATTCGGAATGACTGACTACAGTTAAAGCAAAACTTTATCGATTAGATATTTTGAACACGTTAAATGTTAAATATGTACTCAAATAATTTAATACAAAATAAGACTTGTATCACTAGGATGCGTTTAAGTTGTTACCAAAAAATTTATCAGAAAATTTCAATCAAATGTCTTCAGGCCTTTAAAAAGCCTTTACCGGGAATGCTTTTAGGTTAAATAATAGTTTAATAGCACGAGTTCAGTCTCGGATCCGTTAAAAGCATTTCAAGGAAGTGAACGTAAGCAATTTTCGAAGATAAAGAAATCCGCAAACGAAGAACATTACTCATCAAAATTATTTGCTTATTATTTAAATAAATGTTCATTATTTTTCTTAAGCCAGTTAAGGATAGTTCTCCCTTAACAGTACAACCCTAATTATACATTACGATTGTATTTAAAACTGACAGTTTGTAGCCAGCTTTATTGTAAAATTTGGGCAAACAGATTTATTAATAGATCCGAAACTAATTTCACGAAACTCTAGAGATACCATTAATTTAAATTCGACAAACAATTTATGGGTAAAGTTACGAAATATGTAATTTGTCAGTGACGTATCCTAATGGTGTCGAGTAAAACTAATCCGTTCTCAATTTAGAAACTTTATTAAGAGTGAATCGAGAATCGATTTAACTCTGTTGTTAGTTTGTGTATCCGTAAACTTTTCTTACTAGTCTTAATATTGGAATCCGATGGTCGGAGAGACGTCGCCGGCTAGCACGGTCCGCATTCCCAGAAACCGAATAGCCAATAATAGCATAGCTGAATTCGCGTTATTTACATAAATAGGGCAAGTACTTTTTCTAGTTTTATCGTACAACAAACATCGTTTAAAGTTTATTGTACGAGACGCTCGTATATTTATATGACGGTCGCTTCCTTTAGAATTTCTATGAGGTATTACAATGTCATTAAGATACGATTCTCCTAACGACGGTTTAAAAGGCTTTATTTCAAAACATAACTTTTTAGCATTGATAAATGCAATAAAGGTTTTATAATTTTAAAAAAATGTCATTGTCTTACATACTTGCAACTTACAGTAGATAAGGCATAGTACAATGTTATCGTAACATTTAATTTAAGTTATAATTCTAATTTAATAGTAATTTCTCTAAGCCTATCCCATACAGGTGTACCACTGAATACTCCCTTAAACTAAGTTATGGTCAAGACGAATTAGTAAAGGTATCTGGTAAAGCAAACTACGTGTAAACTATGCGTGAAGTGAGATTAGTTTCAGAACGTGTTATTTAATAAACATCTAACGCTCAACCCTAAAGTTTTATTGAATTAAAGGCCGGCTTTGTGCAATCGTGTTAACCCACGTCTAGGCAGGTCCATACAAATTTTAGTTAATGGACTAACCTATCATATTTTAGTTGACGGGCAATTTATCACGTTATAGGAACTGACCGTGACGTGGCAAAATTGTTATAGACGCACCGGTCGGAAATGGATTTTTGATATTTACAACTTAATTTCATAATAGACTAGCTGTTCCCGTGCGGTTTCATTCGCATGGAATTATAACAACTTTAATTTTATTGTTTACATTTGTTACATTCTCAATTGAAAAAGTCAAAATTACCATTAATAACTTTGCTTCTTTATTCTTAGCTTGTAGTTTATTGTCCTTTTGCCACACAAAGGTTTTTTCCAATTTATTTACCCCTATGTTTAATAGCGTGAAAACATATAGCCAAAATCGTGTCGTAAATATAGGGCTTTTTATTAAGGAAAGAATTATTTAAAAACCTGCTGTGATTGCTGACATCCTACGCCACGAAGTAGTGTGTGTTTACGCTTTATTATTATAGTATAGATGTAGGATCACTTTTACGTTTATCGTATAATGAAATAAAAGCTATAAAATTGCTAACGAGCCGTTTATATGAAATATGAAATCTAATTTTATCAGCCATTGAACGTATTTTACTCGATGTTGATTATGTTGGTTTGTTCATACAACTTTTTTTAATCAAATTTAAAGTCAAGTGTACAGAGTGGACAATTCAAATCGATTGCCCGTAAATAATATGAGGGATAAAATTGTATTTCTGTTTTGATGGCTTTTACATTTTTTTGATTTTTAACTTGGTTATTAATATTGTTTTAAAAATGTTCAAATATAAAAGTAGTAGAAGAAAAAATGTTTTCTTTAACAGCTTGGCTTGTTACTCTCTTATTTTTATTTTAATGTCGTTGTCCATCAACTCAGAAATGTTAGCAAATTCTCGTAAGAACTAAGTTATAAACATTGTAATATATGTAACTCCTGAAAACTGTCAATTTCCAATATTTCTGACATTATAAACTAGGGAGAATCCTCTAAAACACAATTCCTTAAAAAAGTCCTTATCTTTGTAGTGTAAAATACCATAACATTCAACATCTAACGACCATCAAGAAAATAGAAAAGGAAATGTGGCACATCTTGATTCCGTCGGGCCAAATGTAACACGCCCGTCATCATTACAGGCCACTCTCAGGGGGCTCTGTTTACTTTAACAGGAACGAAACTACGATTCATTGAATAAGATTTTCATTTAGTTTTCACATTTCTGAACGTAATTTTCTGATTAAATAGAAACTTGAAAATAGAACGTCCTCATGGAACGATTTGTTTAAAGATACTTTGCATTTTTATCATAGGAAAGAGATGAATTTAGCAGAGAACTATTTAGTGTTATTATTATATTTTTATATACTACGAAAGACAACATTTCTTCATTTAATGATATCGTATTGTTCTTTTACATGCCATTTGTGAATTTTTCAGTAATTTAACAAAATTACATCATACTAATACTCGTATTATGTGAATACTCGTATAAATGTGAAAGTTGGATGAATTTTTGTTAGAGTTTGTAGCCTAAACGGGTGAACGGTTCCCGGACCGAATTTGATAGAGGATAGTCTGTAAGAACACACAGACCATTCACTTTGATTTTTTTTTTCATTTCACGCGGAGGGAGTCGCGGGCGAAAGCTAGTTTTCATATAAAATATCCAATATGTTTTTTATTTACTTATTGCATATTTACATAATTCGTACCACCAACAAAGGTTGTACAAACAAAGGTTATATTCCGAAGTAAACCTTTAAAGACTAGGTTACAAAAATAAAGTATTATGAATTACCATTTGAAAACACGATAAAGTGTACAAATGTCGTTTGAGTTAGCCTGCTGTTTCATTCAAACGATCCTAGGACGGATATTAGCAGGGCGAGTTTCATCCCAGAGCTTTGCTCAAATTATTTCTGACGATAAATTCACAAGATGGCGTTTACACGGGCTTAAATATAACGAGATTTTCCATTTCATTTATCCTTATAAAAATGCAGAAATAATTATCTCTACTGAATATTACATTTTCACGTCATATAAACAATAGAAGTAATTTAATTTATTGTTTGAAAATTTATTTTCTTAAGTAATTTCTATTAACTAAACTGATTACTGGCAAAATATATACCAAAGACCATTATCTTACTTATATTATAAATGCGAAAGTTTAAGTGGATGGTTGGTTTGAGTGATGTTTGTTAGAGTTTGTAGCCTAAAAGACTGTACGGATTTCGATGAAATTTGGAATAAATGTAGAATAAAGTTTTAAATTATTATTATTATTATTATTAAAGTCTGGAAGAATATATAGGCTACTCACTTTTCTTTTTTTAATTACACGCAGACGGAGTCGCTGGCAAAAGCTAGTTTGATATATTTTAATCACTGTAACAATTCCTTTAAGAGAATACATAAAAGGTCATGATGAAATTAAAACTTTAATCTATTAATTTAAAAATGGAATGGTTTAAAGCAATATAAATTGAAATTATGTAGATCATGCAAAAAGTGTGCTACGCTAAAATAATATTTAAGCGAAAAAGATACGATACTCGTTCTTTCGTACTGAGAACCCCAGGACGATACTGCTTAGCGACGTTATTATCGAACAAAGGGAAAGCAGAAGCACTCAATATAAAAGGGATTGGGAAAAAAATGACAGATCACCTACCGAATTTTTCATTACGATTTATTTTAAAAGCATTTTATACTTCTTCGCAATTTAAAAATGATTCATTGTTAAATTACATGCGAAAATTATAAAAAAAATTGTATTAAAACAATTAATCGAAGAGAAATAAAAAAATATTTTACAATTTTTTTTAAACCAATCGAAGTTTTCGTATTACGAGAGAAAATTAAATGTCAACATCATAAAGTTATTCAATTAACGTTAAAATCACTCTGTTTCAGATTATCACGCTGCATTGCGAGAGGAATAACAATAAACCGATATGATGTACTGAAATTGAAGCCTAATGCTCACGCCTGTAATCAATGTATAAATAAAATAAAATGCAGAGGTACAGGATGTGACCAGAATTGAAGGATGCAATTAGTAATGATAAACTTCCTAATAATGTTCGATGTGGTGTTTATATTCTTTTTGTTTTTAATCGCGGTCACATGCGTCATGAATTATATGCCGGGACGCAGTAAGAGGCAGGAGGTAACAGAGGATGAAGTGGATGACGTCATCCCTCCACCCCCACCGTTCGCTGGAGAAGATATTGAGAGGCAAGCCTCAACAAGCAGAGATACGTATGTGGTTATATCACCTCCGATCGACAATCACAAAACCAAAGATGGATGTCCTATTCATGTGGTCTAGCGTAAGCACTGACGAGTAAGTGTTACTTTGTTCCTTCAAAGAAACATGTGTTCTTTTGTTTAAATTTTAAATAAATAAACACTACATCTATTGGTTGAATCCGTATAAATTTTAAATTCAATTCCCCAAGTCCAAAATGGATTTGTATCAACAATAGCTGTTGCTCGAAACTTCGTCCACCCAACATTAACATGAAAAAGTAAACTGTTATATGTCCGACTATGTCAACTACCCTTCAATGAAAGTTCGGTTGAAATCGGCCAAGCTATTTCGGAGATTACAGACAGACAGACAAAAATAAACTAAATGCGATCTTCGTAATCAGCAACGCAAATACATCATCGTCCCGAAATCTGGAATTATTCTTTTCATATTATACAGACACTCCAATTTTATTACCTATGTAGATAGAAATGGATGAACACATTAAATCTTTTGTAGTTATTTTAAAACACAGTCTCACATCTATCCCTATTCTACCTAAGCTTCATTAATCCTTATACAAACATTGGAATCCCTATAAAAGGAATTTAAGGCTTCTATTAGCTATTCGAACAAAACACATCCTGTAATGGCCGCTTATCCTGAATCCTTTTACTTGACAAGGAACTTTTACGTTACGACATATTACTCAACAAAATATGTCTAAAAATACAGTTTGCTTGTTATTAATGTCTTATCCTAGGACAAAATAAATGAAACAATGAAGAAGGGAAGAGAAGTAATGGACGGGTATGTTAGTTTAAAATTTAAAACTCTTTTCTTTTTCAGATCAACGTAGGAGTTTATTGTAAAGAAGCCTTATAAGAACGTAGTATGAAAGAAAATAATAGTAGTCATTTTATACCAATTAGTCGAATTAAAAAGATAATCTTGTTGCAAGAAAATTGAAACATTTTGGGACACAAGTGTTAGTAAAAGAAATGTTTAGTATTTTCCGAGAATCGAGGGTAACCAAGCATAGTTCAGCATTAGTTACAATTCATAAGAAAATCCTTTTGTTTTGAAAATATTTATATAGAGGTATTTACATTACACGAACACACAAATTCGGGAATAGAATGCATTTGTTTGTTCGCGAAGCTTGGCGCAGCGTTAGTGTTTTATTTTATTATAGTTTAGCTGCTTTGGATCTTTGATGTTAATCTTATAATATTGAATAACAGTTTGTCTTATAAAAGGTTTTATCATGCAGTTTATTTCTGCATTGCATAAATGCTTACTTAAGATCGATGTGACTGAATAATAGGTAGCATATTATATAAATTATTATTAGTAAATAATCGTTTGCTAGCTATTATGTGCCTAACTTAGGACCCGTAAAGACGCTTATCTTAAGTATGTTTACTAAATTTCTTTTATTATGCTATTTAAAAAATATAGAGTTTATTTTACTATATTTGTAATAATTTATATTTATATAATTCATTGTAAATTTAATTAGTAATCAGCTATAAATTTGTTTGTAAATTATTTTACTTTTAAAATGAGTTTACGATTTCCTAATTACAATTATTAAATAATGGATAATAGTATTCAGAATTAGGGTAATTTAGTATTAAGATTCGTGTAATAAAAAAGACAATACATGTATTACGAAACTTTTCTCTTGATGTATCTTTTATTTTTCGATAAGTAGTGAAAGGTAGGATAATATTTCCAAGGATACGAAATGGCTAATAAAATAAAATTTAAAGGGCAATAATGTGTTAATTATCGATCACTCAGTGAAATATAAAAAATAAAATTGTATTAGAAACCAAGACGAACGTCAAGAACATAATGGAATCTTAAAATAAACAAAATTGATGAATTGGTTCATATTAATGCATACATTGACAGCAAAATAACAATCACATGTGATATATACACAATTTATAAACGTAGTTATAGTTATTTAAATAATATTTCGACCTAAATTGATTGTTATACAGGTGTTAACCAAAACAACAACCTTTTTAATACCAAAAATATTAAGATATTTTAACACCAAAAACTATGGCGACAGGCAGGCAGCCGACCGCAAAATAAGTAAGCCAAAACAACGAGGTAAGGGTTTTTGATACTCGAAATACAAGAAGGGAGTGATGACTGAGATGAGGGATGATATAGTGCTTGGAGGACGAAAACCCGGTGTGCCGACCCTACGGGGCAGGATAAGGCAGGGGAGATGATGATGAACACCAAAACCTTTAATGATATTCATAGTCCTGAAAATATTATATTCTAATATTCTATGGTATTAAATAGGTCGTTTTATTATCTTTAAAATAAAATGCACTAAATGCAGTGTTGCCATATCATATTTTGTAGTTTTATTTTTACCTCCTCTTTTTCTACAGCTCATTTCATTTATTGGAAAAATTATTTGGTGTCAAAACGATAAATACAAAATGTCTATTATCTAAGTTTTACTCGTGTATTTAATTTCGTCATTGTTAAGTCAATAAGTATTTTATAATCGCCACGTCTGTCCTTTTGTGATATAAACCTTATTTTTCCTTTTAATAAGTATTCTTAGTTAAATACAAGGAAAACTGTTAATTTCAATTATATTCTATTAATTCTTAACCAGCGTTACACCAGTTAATTTACAAATAATTAAAACAAATCCAACTTCTAATCATCAAAGGCCTATTACATGGAACACGAACAATAAATTACAATAAAAGACAAAGGACTTCTCCGTGAAACTTTTGGAGACATTTTAATGTACACAATCGAGCCGCCAATAAAGCGTCAAGATAATTTCAGGTGTTCCCCAGCAACACCTGGGGACGGAACTTTGACGGAAAATCGATTTACAGTAAACAAAGTTTTCTATTGTACAGTACCAGTGGATAACGCATTATAAAGTATTTTCTAATGTACAAAATAATTATACAATATCTCTTTAAATGGACGATTAACTTAATATTGTTAAGATTTGATAGTTTTAGTAAAAATCTTTTAATAACCTCAAACCAAATTCGTAGGATTAATGTTACTCTAAATTGTCATCACTATTGGGATCTGCTCAACCGTTCAAGAGTAAAATAAGTAACCTTAAACATCGATTTATCAATCCAAAGTATCGCATTTACAGTTAACTAGCTTGTGCCCGCGTTTCGAATAAAAATAGTAAGCAGCCTATGTCGTATTCAAGACATATATGCTAAATATTATCGAGATCCGTTCAGCAATTTAGGCAACAAACTCTAACAAACATCGATTCAAAGTGTCGTATGTATGTTAGTAAGATAAGAAGTAAATTTCAAGCTACTGTAAGGTACTAATATACTAGAAAGAAGTGTTTGTAACATTAGCACTGTAGTGGTTATTGAGGGTGTGTTGAGCGGCTTATACTCGGTGTTGTCTTAGGATAACAATAGCAAGCGTATAGAGAGGGCAAAGGTCGGGTATTCCAGCAATTACTATTGTAGGTTAGTTAAACTCGAGGAATAATTATTATTATTTTAATTAATTTTCATTTTTATATTTATAAAAAAAAATGTAGATTCCGTAACAATAGATTACGTTATAATTACGGGTATAATTTGCAATATTGTGGAGACTCAAATGTGGAAATTTCACCAATTTTTGTACTGGTAACAATGAGAACCAACTTTATTTTAATATTTCTATTAATTACTTACATTATAGTTAAAATCTTTACAGTATTATGCGATTGAGTATTCTACATATAGCTACCAAGTTTAAACTCTTATAAATTTCAAAATAAGCCACCTGTTTCTTTTTCTTTTTTTATGAAAGGACTCTTTCTTTTTTTTTTACTTGAAACGTTGCATTTAAAAATGTTTTAACATAAAAGTTTTTAAAACTGTAGGAAAATTTCGTAGAATTTGTTCGACGCCGCACATTGGGCTGAATCAAGTTGCTCCATAGACAACTTTATCTGATGTTTGAAATGTCTCTTTTTTTGCTTGAATGTGCTTTGTATC